TGCCTCATTGAGTGCTCCTGCCAGCCCAGAGCCTCTGGACACCATCAGACTGTTGGTTCTACAGAGGGAGAGGAGAAGACACCTGGTACCCAGCTCTTAAGAAGCTGTTCCAAAATGGGTGATGCTCCTGGCAAGGGGAAGAGGTGAGGGGAGCCAGGGCAGCCCTGCTGGAGGGCACCTGGCACCTGCTGCCTCCCGCCCCACCCAGCCAGGCAGACGAGCTAAGATCTGCAGGCAGTGTCCACTGCCTTACTCCCATCCATCCTTCCGTTACCCACTCCCAGTGGGAGAACAGACCCTGGTTTTCAGGGGGACAGACCCCACTGCCATCACATCTACACGTACCCTGTAAAAGATGCGTCAGCATCATGCCCATTTTGCAAAAGGGAAAACTGAGGCTTAGAAAGAATTATATTGAAGAATCCCTCACACCAGCCACAATGCATGCCTCCAGTGTGCTCCGGGGTCTAATTTACCTCCTTAGGTCCTGGGATCGCTCTTTGTGGATCATGGGCTCCTTGCCCCCGTGGCCGCCCCTGGACTCGCAGTCCCTCTCCTCCTCGGCAGGCGCGTCTTCATCCAGACTCCGCTCCTGGCTGGCAGACCTGCTCCTGGAGGCGGAGGAGGGCTCCTTGCCCTCCGTCCTGACACGGCGGTGCCGGCTGCGCCGCTGGCTCTGCCTGTGCCTAGCCCGGTCCTCAAAGGTCACCACGGTCTCTCCACCACCAGCCTCCTGCTGGGTGGGGTCACAGTTCCCATGACAGGGCCTGGCCAGCCATGGCGGCTCCCGCTTGCCCAGGGACAGGGGGCTCCTCTGGCTGTCCAGGGCGCTCGACAGGTCCCCCCCGGCCCCCTTGAGGGACCCCCCACGGCTGACGCGCTCTTCCTCACACCGCTCCAGGCCCAGGCCCAGGGCCAGGCCCTCGATGGGCCGGGGTCTCCGGTACAGGCTGGGATGGGCATTGAGTGGGTTGAGGGGGCTCAGGGGGTTGAGGGGGTTGAGGGGGTTCATGGGCGGGGCCTCCTCCTTGTTGAGGGCCTCCTGGCTGGACATCTGCATGTGCCTCCTCAGCTGGCTGGTGCGCTGCTCCCACACCGACATGTGGTGCCGGCGCCTCCGCTCCCTCCTGCCAAAGGGGAGAGGGCGAGGGCACGTCACAAGCTGCCAGCCAAGGGCCAGGGAGGGCGGCCCCAGGGGCCTGGGCCAGCCTTCGGGGGCCGTGGGATGTGGCGGGGGAGGGACACACAGTAGGGGGAGAAAACAGGAGGGCCCGGGACCTGCAGACAGGAAGCACAGAAGGATGTGAGGGGCAGGGTGGGCCACGCATAAGTTGGACTGGAGACCCCCGGCCCATGGGGTTTCCACTCTCATCCCTGCTCTGCGGTAGCTGAGGGCGTGGGGTCAGCCCAGGACTGAGTCCCACTCCCCACAACCTGCAGGGCAATGGTACACAGGCTTACCAGGTTTCCACTCCCCTGTTCCCCTCTGCTTTCAGGGCATCAATCCAGATCCACCCTGTGCCCACCAATGGCCCTGAGTTCAAGATCAGAGGCCTTTCTCCCTCCCACTCTCCCTCTTCTTTCCCTGGGAGAGCCAGGGCTGAGAAGTGCAACGGTCAGGTACTATCCAAGGGTGACTGGTGACAGTGGCGAGTGGGCCCACATTAGAGAAAGTCTCAGCATCACCCCCAGAAATCAGAGCACAGTGGGTTTCTTCTACAGCCACTAATAAAAACCACAGGACTCTATGTCCAGGGACCAACGGCTCAGACTCCAAACCACTGTGGACCCAGCTCAGGGGCCTGCATGAGCATCATGGGGCAGCAGGAACACACCAGCGTGACACGGAGAGGGGCCCACGGGGCGGGCTCACAGGAGTGGGGAGTGTGGGTAGACGCCTACTCCCGCCCTCGCACGTGCCTGTGGGCGCACGCCCAGAGCCCGGGCGGGGGACACTCACATGTGCCCACCCACGTCCTCACTGAGGCCCACGCAGCCACAACAGCCACGGGCACTAACTACCCACGCCGACACATGCCCGCTCACAGGTCACACAGGAGAGCAAACTATGCACGGGGCACAGACCTTAGACGCACAGCGAGAAAGGCACATGGCGAATGGTGCAGAGGAGCAGATCCACAAACCATGTGCACAGAACGCACACACACACACACACCACGGCACACACGGAAGTGCACGCCCCGTACCACTCTGTCCATGGGAAGGACAAAGAAGACACGGTGTCCCCGCACCCACACGTAACCACTCACAAACACGCAAACCGGTACACACATACAGGTGGCTGCTGCGTGGCTCCCACATCGACATGTGGTGTCTTCTCCTTCTGTCTCTTCTGGGGAAGAAAAACGGACAGGTTCAGTTCACCCCGACCTCTAGGACCCGCAAGCCCCACGGCCACCAGCCGACCTCCAGGGAGAGGCACAGAATCCCCTACGTGCCTGCTGCCCTCTGTAGACGCCCAACCTTCAGCTCTCCAAGGGAGTGAGCTTCGTTCCTTGCTGTGTGCAAACACATCAACCTAGTTTTCAAGCAAACATGCAGGGGTGCAAAGGGTCTATTGTTTTGCAGAGGGAACAGCTTCAGATGCTCAGTCACTGGGCCCCACCAGCACTCACACTTTCACCTAAATGTCCATCAGAGACCTAACTTGGAAACCCTGTAAACCTGGATGAAGAGGTTTTACGATATTCACAAGGTGTGAATCCCCAGCTCATCACTCCAATCTCACCCAGCATGCAGTGAACGAATGCTCTGCCATGCGCGCCATCGAGGCCACCAAGTAACCCATGACCAAAGGCAGGGCCACCACTTCACGGGCTGCCATCCACATACTTCTGTGTGTGAGCGGTGCCCCCTGCATGTGTGCCATGGGGTGGCCCTGGCCTGAGGTCTTGACCGTCCCGCCTGTTCCGCTGGGCACAGCACAGTATTAACCCTCCTAGCCTTGCACGGGGAAAAGTCCCTTCCACAGACACATGCATGCTGTGTCCTTGCAGGCCAGGCCGATGGAAGGTCAGAGTGGTAGGGTGGGGCATCACCCACAAAGGCAAACAGGAAAAATGAAGCTGTCAGCTCAGGTCAAAGCTCAGGCATTGGATGACATGTCTGGGACACCGATGGAGCGAGCCTGCCCCAGGTCCTGGGCTGATGGACCCAGCCTGGACCTATGGGCCCTGTCCGGACCTGCTGCTCTTCCCCGATGAAAAGCACCCCTGTGCATGGACAGCGTGCAGGCAAACGAGCATGGCTCAACTGCCACGTCCACATCCACAGAGAAGCCAGATTCACTGTGGGCTCTGGGAGCAGAGGCTGCTGTTCTGAGCCTCACTCAGAATCATCTGGAAGTGGGGCAAAGCACTCCAGCACCCACAGAAGGGATGCAGACATCACTGTGGAGATGCCCGTGAGCTCCCCAACTGAATGCAGCCCTCTGCATTGTCAGCGCAATGTGCATGGGGCGGCCGTGCCAAGAAGCAAGGGCAGCATAGAGAAAGCGAAGCGCACGCTCTAGACGGGCAGCAGGCGCGCCCACCAGGAAAGGCACCTCCCACCGTCAATTTGCAAATTCTCAAACATCCAACTACCAGCCCTCCAGAAGCACACGTGGAGGAACGTAAGCACATGGAAGAACTCTCTCTTACTTGCTCACATGTGTGCACACGCGCATACACACACACACACAGGTCAGGTGAAAGAGAGAACCAACCTCTAATTTCCACACAAATCAGATATACACTTCAAACTCCTCTTCACTTGGCCACTCACACAGACAAAGATCCAGATTCACATCCCATCAGAATCATTACCATATCTTCATTCCTGAAACCACACGGAGAAGCATCTCTCCGACTCACGCGTCTGTGAGCTCACACGCACTCTGCAAGAACCCTGTGGGTCAGGAAAGGTGGTTGGTGCTCTTCCCATTTCAAAGACGGGGAAACAGGGATTCTGAGACGCTAAGCGGCTTTCATTCCAAGGTCACAGCACGTGAGTGTCAGAACGATGACTAGCACTCTGGCCTTTTGGCTTGTAACAACTTCTTCCCGTGTTTCTCCCTGGCCACCGTGTTCTCACTTAGTTACACTGTCACCTGGAACTCAGGGGTCCCGCCTGCAGGCCCAGGCAGTCCACACACACGCTGACGTCATCCTGCCAGCAGCACCTGCCTTGCAGCACAGGGACAGCAAGCAAAGCCTGCGTCTCTGCTCATCCTGGGTGCTTACAGCACCTCTCCCGCCTCTCTGTGCCCGGATACACATTCAGTCCCCACGGCCCTGTGCCTACCAGCATTCCATTCATTCTTTCATCCCATAAATAGTGAGTTTCTACTCTGGGCCAAGCATCCTTCCCACCTCACATCTCCAAACCCACTCCTCCTCCTGCCTGCCTCATCTCAGTAAATAGAACCACCCACTCCTAAGTGACAGCCAGCCCTGCCCACCCACGTGTTTGGATACCTGTGTGTAAGTATTTTTAGCCCAAACTCATGAGTGCAGGGGAAGGGGTAGAAACTACTCAAGGTCCAGAGAACCTTCTAGAGAGGAAGGAGGTGTTTCTGCCTTTTTCTATCAATCTTTAATGTATTTTGGGGGGAGTGTTTTTTTCTCCCTCACAGAGGATGAGCCCAGGGGTCAAGCCATCAGCTGTAGAAAGTGAGAACAAGATGATGGCCAAGGCGGGGAGAGAGGCCCCGCATGTAGCTCTAGAATGTCCCTACAAGGTGAGGCAGAGGGCATTAACGAGCTCTGGGCAGAGAAGGGCTCCCCCCTGGCCAGCTTCAAGTAATACACGACAGGGTCTGGTTCCAGTTCCCAGGGATCTCAGACCTTCCCCAGTGGCGCCCCAGGGTCCCTCACACAGTCCTCACGCAGGCCCAGAAGCAACAAGAGGAATTCTGAATTTCCGGAGTCACTTCTGAGCCTCTCCTCTGACACCTCCCTCCAGCCTCTCCTCTGACACCTCCCTCCAGCCTCTCCTCCACCACCTCCCTCCAGCCTCTCCTCCACCACCTCCCTCCAGCACCAGCAGCCCAAGCGCTGCTAGTTCCACCAGCAACCACAGGTCCAGGCTGGATCCTTAAAGAGAGTCTATACCCGCTGCTCTAATCTCCCTCTCCCTCTAATCCACTCCAACTGGATTGTGTTCCCACGGGGCCACTCAAACTGCTCTCAGGAAGGTCACCAACAGCTTTCGTTTTGCCAAACCCAATAGCCCCTTTTCTGGCCTCATCTTACGTGATCTTTCAACAGTCCTGAGCTCCGCCCTCCACACGAAGCATTTCCAGCCTCTCTTCCTCAGCCCCTTTCTCCTTCACCCCAGCTCTCCCTGGGTCAGCTCCCTGTGCTGATCCCTTAAAGGTCACCCAAGTGCATATGCCCCCCTCCCCCGTCTTCATTTCTAACCCTAACTTCTAAGCTTCAGACCCACGTGATCCATTCGACATCTTCACTTGGATGTCTTGTATGTATCTCAATTTTAACGTGGCCCAAACGAGACTTGGATTTCCACCTGTCTCCAGGCTATCAGTACATTTCACCATCATCTACCCAGTTGCTTAGGCCTCAAACCTGAAAACCTAGGAGAAACATTTGTTTCTTCTTTTGCTCATCTGTCTCCATCACATTTATTCCATTAGATCACCCTACTGGCTCTCCCTCCAAAATACAGACTGAGTGGGATGCCTGCTCACCCCCTCCACTGCCCCATGGTCAAAACCACCATCAACTCTCACCTACTCTAAGAGCCAATCTCTGTCTCCCTGCCTCCAGTCTGGGTCCCTACAATCCATGCTCCACAGAGCAGAGTGAACTTTTGAAAGTGTAAAGCATATCCTATCTGTCCTTCCCCTCTAGGCCCTCCTATGGTTGTAATTAGAATAAAAGCTAAAACCCTTCAGCCGGGCCTTCAGGAGCTCCCTGGCCTTGTCTCCTTCTTGTCCTCCTTGCTCCCTTCACACCCGCCACACTGTGCCTTGCTGGGGAGCACTCTGCCTTCATGTCACATGTCCGTCTTCTGCACATTTAGGTCTCTGCTTAAATATCACCTCTTCAGAGAAGCCCTCCCAGATCGCCTGCTGGTTCTCCACCCAGTTCTTCTCATTCCTCTGCCTTCCTACCCTATCTATTTGAGAGCGATGATCACCACCTAAAACGATTTCTGTTTATCATCCATCTTGCTCACTGAAATGGGAGTGCTGTGGAAGAAGAGACCCTGTCTTGCTCACTGACGTATTCATGGGGCATCTCCTGGAGCGGGCGCCCTCCGAGAGTAAGGCTTTTCGGAGCTGAGTGATGCTGTTAGCACAGGAGCCCAGGGATCTGTGAGGGGACAGCCGACTCACTCGATGGAAGGCATGTTGGGCGCAGACATCGGGCTGACCTCCTTGGCCTTCTGCAGCGCGTGCTTCTGGTTGAAGGCCTCCTCTTCTTCCTGCTCATCCTAGACACAAAGCAGAGGTGGCTGTGCCTGGGATCTGGGAAGGAGAGTAGCCCCGGGGGCTCTCCCTGGAAGGTGTTCTAGAGACCAGGCGAAGTAAGGAAAGCCGGGAAGAGGTGAAACAAGGCAGTGTGAGCTGAGGTTGGCTCAGAGACCTCAGGGGGCCAGAGCCTGGGCCCCTCGAGACAGCCGCCTCCTCCACCCTGCCCCTCAGGCTGCTCTGCAATTCCTCCGGAGAGCCGTGGAGCCCACCCTAAGCCCCACCCTCAGTGGAGCTGGCCACGGCTGCAGAGCTCAGAGGCCAGAGCCGACACCTCCCAGACATCCCACAGGGTCTGCAAGTGATGGAGCAGGGACCTTCCAGGCAGGGCCCCTGAAGCAAAGTGCTGGGGTCATCCCTCCATCACGCCCTCTTCCCCGCACAGCTAAGAAACCCCACTCTGGGTGCTCAGGCAGAGGGACCTCATCCCCTCACCCATCACCCATATTCTTGCTTATAAATGTCCCCTGTGTGCTAACACCAAGGAAAGCCCATTCAAGTAAAATGGCCAAAACACATACACCTTCACAGCCTGCTCTGGTTTTCACATGATCATTTTATACTTGATCCTTGCCACACTCCTCTGAGGTCTGCAAGGCAGGCCTCTTATTCTTATTTTATAGGTGAAGGAAGCAATGCTGATGGAGATGAGGGGCCTGGCCCCAGCTAAAGGAGCCAGCACCGGTGGGTTTGTGGCTCACACCCAGCTTTCCAGCTCCTAGAGCTGGTACATTTCCCTACTGTACTATGCAGATAAGAGGACCCCCGAGGATGTCGGGAAGAGCAGGCAACACATCAGAGAATACGCGAGAAAGGCTTCGAGACATCACCGGGATGCTGTGGGCTCAATCCGAAACCGAATTTGCATAGTGTGGGGAGAAGTTTTCACTCATCTCCTAGGCTGTCCCACTGCCACCAGAATTCCCTCCACCACTTAAGAAATGACTCAGAGAAAAGAAAGGAACAGTTCTTTGAGAAATGGAGTGTCTGGCTTCACTGAAACTTCCCCAGGATGATCGCAGCCACTGGAGTAGTCTAGGACCAGTGATGCCCCTCTCACACCCAGACCCAGGAGGGTGAAGGCACACAACTGAGGTCACACAGCCCCAGGTCACAAGAGCAGAAGTCAGATTTAAGTCCAGGAGTCTGGTGTTCTCTGTATTTTCCAGGTCATCGTCCTGCAAAGGACATCTCTGGGGGTCTGCAGCAATTAAGTGCCTATCTTCTACAACCCGTGAGACACCCAGGCTGGTCTGAGGCTCACCAAAGTGAACCGGGCTTCCTTCCTGGTCGTGCCCACAAGCACAGAGAAGGGGCCTTCCTGGCAGGCCTAAGCCAGGCAATGCAGAATTTGGGAGGCAGTCCCAATGCCTAGCAGGCATTCAAAGGCATTAGAGAATCACTGGATCCCCTGAGAACACTGTTTACCTTGGTCAGCTCCTGGGCATTGGCCAGATTGTCCACAGCGATGGCCAAGAACACATTCAGCAGTGTGTCTGGGGTGATGAGTTAAGGATGGGCAAGTAAGAAAACCAAAAGCCTTCAGCGAGGCTGAGAGGGCATCGCCGGGTCTTTCCTGCCTGGGACACTTGCAGGAACAGAAGCCACCCCAAAGGGTTAATTGAGCAGGGACTGTGGGAGGAGGAAGAGAGATGTTATGTAATTCTGCTTGAAGGAGAATATGTCTTCTCTCCTTCCATATATTTTTACAAGAAACATCTGAATTGAACCACTCAGGGGGCCAAGATGGAGCAAGGAGACTTACACAGTGACGGCCTCTAATCCCAGCAATACAGAGAACCACTGAACAATGAGACGGATAAGGAGCCTAACGTAGGAGCTTCGTCTTTCCTCTCAGGGAGGCTGGAGTTGCAGCCCACCTGGACCAATCATGCAATTCTGTCCTTAAAGATGAAGCAAAATTAGATTCCACAGCCTTATCACTAATGAGATGCTAACATCTTTCACTCTTTTCCAGGGAGGCTTCCATATTTTATTTAACAAACTGTCTCAGGGCACACAAGACCATTTCTATGTCAAGCTCTAACCTCCAAAGTCCCAATTTTCCAATGATCTTTGAGGCCCATGTGTTGTGGAACACGGAACTGGCTCTAGCCCAAAAGTCCAGGTCTGACTACCATCAGAGTAACAGGAAAATCAAGATGCCACTGTGACAAACTGGACTTCCATTTCTGTGACTCACTGCTTAGCTTGCTTTTTATAGGTTTCTCATGTTTATAGTCCACTCTGGCCCCTAGATGTTTTTACAGCAGAAAAGTTAAAGGAACACCTCTTCTCCATCCCCTTTCACTCTACCAACCCTAATTCAAGGCAAATCCTACTTCCCTCAAACATCCAATGGTCACATAGAAGTTTGTGGTTTGTAAGTTACATTCAAGCAAATTATCTCATTTACTATTCACCACCAACAGAGGAGACAGATAATATTCCCTTCTTTCAGGTGTGAAAACTAGAGGCTCAGAGAGATTAAGTGACTTTCCCAAGGCCACACAGCTGGTAAGCAAGGTTGCTGGGATTAAAACCCAAGTCTTCTGGTCTAGAATTTGTGATCAGCCATGGGTTTTGGAATTAAATACACTTGGTTTCCAGTCTCCCTTCACAATTTAGTAACTGTTTGGCTTTGATCAAGTTATTTCCTCTAAGTCTTATAAGGTCAGGCTTAGATGAAATGGTGCCTATGAAACATTTAGTACAGGGTCTCATGAATAGCACAAATCCACCAAGTGCTAGCTGTGCTCAGTAATAGCATTGATCATAATACTAATATTTTTGAGATCTTACTGCATTGAAGACTCTGTTTTATATTAACATGTAATTAACTCATTATTCTTATAATCTGGTCACTATTTCAGCCTACAGTGATCTCTTCCTCTCGTATTTCTCCAGCTCACAGTTTATCTAACCATTTAATGTAAGAGCCTCGTATGTCTTTATTGGTGCACACTGATAATCTGGATGACACGCCCTTGTTTATACTCATCTTCTGTACCAGGCTAGCGCACAGGTTCCTTAAGATCGAGGCCCTTGTTTCTCTTTACACCAGCAGTGTCCACCCCAGTGCCGCCCCCACCTCTCCCATCACCAGCATCTCCTCCTCCTCTCAGGCTGGTCCAGGCAGGCCGTGCAAGAGAAGCATTTTAAGAAGGATACAGTTTCCGAACAAGGTGAGCACAATGAAGTAGATAGCGGACCACATGCCTGAGCTGACCCCGCCCTGGGAGCGGATTCCGTTGTACATGACCTCGTTCCAGTCCTCCCCTGTCAGGATCTACACAGCAAACAACAGGCAAGTTAGAGACCTGGGCTGGATGAGAAAATGGGCTCCACGTAAAGGGGAAAATCCTTGGCCTGGGTCTTTTTTCATCTACCTGCCAGGGAGAAAAAAAAAGTCACTCCTGTAAATAATCTTAAACATCCTTCTGATACCGAAAAATTTTAGGCACTGAAAATGGAGGTAGAACATTAAAAGGAAAGGTTCTATTCTTCAAAATATAGAGAACCCCCCCATTCCAAACCCCAGCTTGGCCAGGCCTGTGGAAGTCACACAGAGTGGGCGGTCTGCTCACTGCCTGACCATCTCCAGGAGCTGCCAAGGTACAGCTCCTGAGACAGCAGCATTACTGGAAAATGCTTTGTGGGCTCCAGTTCTGCAAACCTGGGTTCTGGTTCAGCCTCAATATCTGGCTAAGTAACGTTTTCCTTTACCTCTTAGACATTATTGATCTGGAGTTTTCCCCCATGATTTAAAAAAATTTTGGCGGGGGGTGTGGTGGTGCGTGAAAAAGATACTTTATTAAAAGGACATGTGGGTTTGAAGATACTTCCAATTTCCTAAAACCATAAATGCGATGTCACTGGATGTCTCTGACTTAGTACTCTTGCAAACTTACAAGTATAGGGAGAAGGCCAATGAGGTCATCACGAGAGAGCTCTTTTATTATTGGTAAGAACAGAGCTACAGAAGTCCTAGCAATCAGCGTGGTGATGACTTCTCAGTAAGCAAGAGCACGCAGCTGCCTGAGAGGAGCCTGGAGAGGAAAGGCAGGTTCTCTTCACACATCATCATCTTGTAGTATGTGCACTGAGGGACTCCACCGAAATTTTTTTTTAAATTGAAGTATAGCTGATTTACAATGTTGTGTTAGTTTCAGGTGTACAGTAAAGTGATTCAATTATACATATACATATATATATTCTTTTTCTGATTCTTTTCCATTATAGATTATTACAAGATATTAAGTATAGTTCCCTGGCTAGATAATAGGACCTTGTTTATGTATTTTATACATAGTAGTGTGTATATGCTAATCCCAAACTCCTACTTTATCCCCTCCCCCCATCCCTTTCCCCTTTGGTAACCACAGTTTGTTTTCTTTGTCTGTGAGTCTATTTCTGGTTTGTAAATAAGTTCATTTGTATCATTGTTTGTTAGATTCCACATACAAGAGATACCATATGACATTTGTCTTTGTCTGACTTAACCTCACTCAGTATGATCATCTCTATTTTCAGTGACGTGGATGGACCACGTAGCACTTTTTAATAGCCTCATACCTGGAATACAGTCATGATGGCTGCAGGGAAGGTGTCAAAGTTCGCTGAAGGAGTCCCGTCATTAAAGTTGAACCTGAAAAAGGAAATTCAAAGAGAGGAATGAAAGGAAAATCTCACACACCAAGTTTTCCCTTTCCCAAGATTATGCTGTTTTCATCACTACTTTTCCCATCTCCACCTCCCCTCCTTTCCTACACTCCTCACCATTCCAGTAACTTATGAAGATGGTATTAGTGACTTCTACTGGGGGACTGAGCACTTGAAGGGGGTGGATAATGGGATGCAGCCTGGGCGGATCCTGAGTCACAAGGCCCCATGCTGTACCCTTCAGGGACAGCTCCAAAGGAAGGGGTCCTCACAACGAGAGCCCTGTACAGAGATGTTTGTTCCACACATACACTCAGTGGTTGACTGGAGCCATGGACACGAACAAACAAGATGGTAACATGGTGATTAAATTAGTGACCCTGGTGCTCATAGGCTGAAGACTAGGTTTTGAGGCTCCGTTGGATGGAAAGCTCGTTCGCACTTACCGGCCTCCAAACAGCTGCATTCCTAGGAGAGCAAAGACGACAATGAACAGGAAGAGGAGAAAGAGCAAACTGATAATGGACTTCATGGAACTCATCAAGGAGACCACCAAATTCCGCAGGGATGCCCAGTACCTGCAGAAACCCAGACAGCATTACGGCAGGGAACAGTGAGTGTCAAGTTACCCCCAAGCCCAGCTGGGCATCTGCCTGGTGGTCTATGAGGTAAGCTGCGCTTGTATACTTGTAGAAAGGACAGATGCCAGCAATAATGTGGCTCCCCTTGGGAATATGGCACGGGATTCTGGCATCGTAGGCATTTTTCTGGTTTGATCTTTGGAGGAGGAGGAGAAACTAAAGAGCAGAGTGGGGTGGTGGGGTAGGGAAGGGGGTTACGTGGTAAGGGGGATGGAGATGGGAGGAAATAATAATAAGGCAGAGAGAAGCTTCCACTCTCCAAGGTGGTTGGGAAGAGTTCAGATTCTGGCCACTTACTTGGTTATTTTAAATATTCTCAGAAGCCGAAGAGCTCGCAAGACACTGATTCCAAAAGATGTACCAGGTCTGAAGATTGCCCAGACCACTTCAAAGATGCTGCCCACTGTGACCTAGAGAGCCAAACCCAGCCACAGTGAGAAGAGGGGGAGGGGGAGAGACGCAGTCTGGTATTCCTCAATCAACAGTTCTCACTGGGCTGTTCTAAAATGAAAACTCTCGCCTCCCCACCACCTCCAGCAGGACCACCTACGTGTGAAGGCTGCCAAATGAAAACGAGACTCTACCACCTCTCTCCCCACTGCTCTCCACTCCCCTTGCTAAATTTCCTCCTTCACACTGTCGGTTGCTTTACTGACTGCTGCTCTGTCCTTCGTGAACACTGCAACAGTCATTCACCACTTCTGCACAGATTGACAGCCATACTGTTCTTAGATGAACAAACAGGCAGAAGAGTGGTCCTCAAACAAGAAAAACAAATGGAAATTAACACAGGTTGCGCTCAAATATAAAAGTCTCAGAGAAGGTCCACATTCATTGTCCTAGAATTCACTGCTAACAAGAATATTTCAGTCACCTGTACACGAAATAACTTTCAGCCACTCACGTCCCACATACTCCAATGTGAGGGTACCACTTGGGGGTATGGAATCTGATTGCTATAGGGAGTAGCAATGGCAAATTCACCAGTCTGTGTTTTTGTTCTAATTATACGTTTACTGAAGGTCTGTTATATCCTACACACTGCCCTAGGAGAAACAACAAAAATTTATCCTCACAGCGATGCTGAAAAGTATGCATGTAAGGCAACTGAGGTTAAAATGGTCTTTCACTCACTGTTATGCCTGAAAATTGCCTGTACCCAGGAGCATATGTTCCAAGTTAAAATGCAGATTGGCAAGTGCCCAAAATCGTTAGCACCTAACTGAAGAGCTGGCAGAAAAAGAAGTGGGTTTGGCAGAAAGAGAAGTGGTTCAGGAACCCAAAGTTTTGCAGCCTAGTTCTGCTGCTAACTGGCTGTGGGACTTGCACACGGTGTCCCTGGTTTACTCGTGTGTCAACAGGTAGCCAAACTCCCACCACTTAACACAGGGGCCAGGACTCCTGAAAGCACGGAGGACAAAAATGTGTGCAAAAACACCGGGAAGACTGTCAGTAATGCCCGCCTGTACACATTCATGCCACTGAGGACGTGGACACTGGATGAAGTGGTCTGTGTGGGGACTTGCTAGTATAAATGTGTCTGTGCGTACGTGTGTGAATGCTTGTTTAAGGGGACAGCTAGATAATTTTCCCAATTTTCAACTAAACTAAAAAAACGAACATACAGGTTTCTCATTTTTTATTGAACCACCTTCTAGAATCAAGGCTTTTGTCCTTCTCTCCCAGGCTTCCCCCAAGATAATTAAGTGGTTCAAAACTCGGGCTGTAGGTAGCTTTGTAAACCTTACTGAGCTACACTGAAGTGTATACTCTATGGTTAATGCATTCTACTGCGGTAAAAAGATTAAAAATAAAAGAGCATTTAAAAAAACCCAAACAAACCCTAGTATGGCAAGGATTCACTCCTTCCTGAACTCCCTTTCGCTAATCCTATGCATTTATTTTTTTATAAGTTCTGATGTCAGGGTTCCATGCTGAGCCATGGTGCGAGCTGCTTATTTCAAACCACAGCAGATCCACACGACGCAGAAGGATGGGAGGGCACTTACCCCAAAATCAAAGCAGTTGAATGAAGAGTGAAAGTAAAGGCGAGGCCCCATGCCGTACATCTTCAGGGACATCTCCAAGAGGAAGAGTCCCAGAAACAAAAATTCTGCATAGTCTGAAAGCATTAAAAGCAGAACCATTTGTTCCATGGACGGCCCGGGCTCCAGCCCTCCCCAGCCTAATGCCCCACCTATGGAGGAGCCCTTGATGGCAGGACCCGCCCATGCAGGACGCTCGATGACCACGCCAGGTGGGTGCCAGGCAGAACCTACTGATGTCTGAACAGGCTCTGACCCAGAATGAGTCCCAGGCACACTCCATTCTTTGCCCTCTTTTGACAGGTGGGTTTGTCACTGTCCCTTAAATGGTAGCTGGCTCTCAGGAGAGACAGAAAGGGCTTCCCCGTGGCTTTGATGGAAGAGCTGGATTCACCCCACACACCAGCCGTGTCTGCCTCCGGGCCCTCACTCACACCCAGTGGTGGCCTTACCCAGTGGACGTAAGTTTCGTCTCCGGTCTATTGAAGGTATTCACTTCCCTGAAGACTTTCTCCCTAGGACTCTGGTGACCAAGATTCCCTACGCCACTGAGACACTAAATGAAGGCCTTAGATGACCCAAGGTGTAATGCTATCTTATTGACTCATCAGTAAAGATTTGTTTATGAGTCCATAATGAATGACAGCTGGGGATGGTCACATGATAACCCCCACCCCTTGATGACAGCTCTGGGCTCCTTCCCACCGCGGTGGAGGGGCAGAGCTCCGGGCAGGCAGAACCACCGCCGGGCCCACACGCTGCCTCGCTCTCCTTACACTCCCACCCCAATCACGCTGCCACCACGAGAGTCAACAGTCACCACTCACAGAGGAGGTGGGTGAGCCACTGGGGCTGGTTGTGATGGACGATGGCCACGCAGGCGGTGTTGAGAGCCACAAGGCTCAGCACGATCCAGTAAAACACCTGGGATTTAACCATGTGGCGAATAGAGATTCGCAGAAGTCTCTCCTTGTGCCGGAAATAGGAGGCCCCGTCCACCTTTGCACTTTTGATGCTGGCCCGGGCCAGAGGTGTGCCTGTGGAGGGGAGCAGGAAGGAGGAAGAATGAGGCTGCAAAACAGATCACCCTGCAATGGCAACGGGGCATTCAAAGGACTAGCGGGAGCAGCTTCAATCCCAGGGCTTGGGGACTGCCGCGTTGCAGGCCCGAGGAATCCCCAAGTTATTGGCTAAGAGTTTCCACAGCACAGCCAAGATTGCCCGCTTTTCCTCCAGGCACTCTCAGTCCTAGGAAACAGAACGACTCCCCAGGAAGGACACCAGGCATACAGCCACTATCCTGAATCCTAATAGGATCCTGTTTATGTTTGGAACAGACTGGGCTTCTCTCTGGCCTTTCTTTTTAAATATACTTCAGGCACCGGAAACATTCTGCCACATTTGTGATTTTTTTTTTTCACCACCGGCAGCCTAAAGCAGCAATCAGCTTTCTACGCCTCTTCTGCTGTCAAGGATGAAGCCAGACCCTTCCCTTTCTTCTGAGGAGGAAAAATCTGCCATCAGCCAGAATCTCTGTGAGAACCTGGGACTGAACACTAGTCACCTAAAAGGGCTGTCAGTGGGAATTCGTTTTAAAGTCACATGGACGCAGGTGATGGAAGCAGGGAGGTGGACTGTGATTAAGCCAATGATTGCCGGCTCTCAAATGGGGGTCGCTTAGAAGCAACAGGTTCTCAGGATCCTTTGAACGACATCCCAAAGTGTGTCCTCATGATCACATTCAGGAGAGACCAAATGAATATAAAACAGGATACATCTGCCACACTTGAACAACCTGGGTTGGATTCTTGGCCCTGAACCCCATGTTTCACATAAACAGTATCCCCTGGTCTGTTTTTTCCTGTAAGTCATTGTCAACCACATTACATCCCAATGCCTTTTCCTAATGACATCCCAAAGCTCTGGATTTTTTGGATTCTCTTCCTCTCTGTGGTGTCTCCCAAGAGACAGGATATTCCCTTTCGTGGGCGACTCAGAGCAGGAGGAGAAGACCTGACTGCCTCCACTCACCCACGGAGGAGATGTCGACACAGTGCTCATCGCTGGAGTCTCGTGTCATGGCCTCCGTCCGGCTCCTTTTGATGGTTGCCCTTCGAAGCACTACACCAGGGAGGGGGGGAGGCCAGAGAGAGGGCGTAAGGACAATTGGACCATTCTGGTCAAAACTGAGGACTGTGGGCAAGAGGCCCCTGTGACACAGGCGACTGCGTGGGTGAGAGAAGTCGCAAATGTCTACAGCACCCCGGCTCCCGTGGTCAGTAGCAACCCTGACACACAGGGCACCCGCGCCTCGCTAGAGCTGACCCACGTGCGGCAGGCACGCAGGCACTCCATCTCTACTGGCCCTGGCTCTGCATAGATAATGTCACTTCCTGGGAATGAAAGTGGTCTCAAGATGATCCCCACCAACTGCCAGAGAAGATCCCTTTCTACGCCACTGGTCTTAGGATGGCCTTTTCATTGCATATCATCCGTCACACGCCCTGGAACAAAGCAACTCTTGGATTTCATTTGCATCACTTTAAAAAAGCATTTAAATCCACCTCTCAATTCCCTTCACTGTTAAAGCATGAGGGGTTTTATGACAGAGAGACTTGCGTTGCAAATCCCAGAGCGCCCCTCTTTTCTTTCTTCCTCTTCTTCTGATCAAGAGAGCTTGCCGCCGCATCGGAGGGGGCAAGTGCAGAAGTAAAAAGGCCTGGGAGCCCTTCCTTACCTTCTAAGGCTGATGTTCCGGCATTTTTATTTTCTTCAGCAAGCATGACTTCCTCTATATGAAAATAAATGGTTTAGTAAATTATTGGTAAATGAGAAATCATTCTGCAAAATAAAAAAAGCCCTCAGGAATGGCTCTGGCTTCAGGGCCATGGCGAGAGAGCAAAGAGTTCAGAGCTAGTTTTGGGCACCAGCATCAGAAAGACGTGAGAGTCATGGAGGGAGTTCCTGAGACAAATCCAAACAGCAAAAAGCCCTTTAGTGCAGGGGTGTTGGAGGGGGGCTGGCAAAATTCATCTGTGTCTGATACACTGTTCAGGGGGTTAGTCCTGAGAGGGAGAGCTACTCTTTTAACTAAAATCCCCTAAATTGATAGGAGTAAAAAATCTCCACGTCTGCTTTTTCTTTTTTCCAGCTTCCCTAAACCTTTTCCAGCAGTAGGAGCTTCCTGAGTTTCTTGTCTGCAGCTCCTAGGTCGTAACATCCACCCTCCTCATTCAGGAGGTGAGACCATGTTTTGGGTTCCAGCCTATTTCTTTAAGGGAGGGGCAGAGGAAAATGCTAACGGCCCCCCACAAAGAGAGGAGCAGGCCTCGTGGGCTTGCTTCCTGTCCCCCGACCACTTCCGTCCTGCCTCGCTGAGCAGAATTAGAATTTGTGAATTTGTGAATTTGTCCCTGTGATATAAAGAAAAAAAGCAATAATTGATTTGGTCCACCTTCCTGACACAGAGCTCCTAAAACCCTCAGAATTTATTGTCTTTTGTATGCTAATGAGAAGGACTAGATAGTGTAAGGCTGGGGGCTGGTCATCCCCCCCAAACTACCACATGATTAGAAGTCTTATCCCCTTCTCAGCTCCCAGGAAGGGAGAGGGACTTGAGATAGTTCAATTACCAACGACCAATGATTTCGTCAATCATGTCTGTGTAATGAAATCTCCATAAAAACCCTCCATGAAGGGACCCAGGGAGCTTCTGAGTTGGTGAGCACGTCCCGGTGCTGGGAGGCTGATGCACATGGAGGGGCCTTAGAGGCTCTGTGCCCCTCCAACCCCCATTCCCATGCTTTACCCTGTGTATCTCTTCCATTTGGCAGTTACTGACTTGTATCTGTCATAATAAGCCGGTGACAGTTTTTCCTGAGTTCTGCAAGTCATTCTGAGAATGACCAGTCCTGGAACCCCCTGAATTTGTAAGTGCAGGTCACCCGGGGACCCCACCGTGGCTGGTGTGTGAAGGAGAGGCAGGCTTGTGGCACTAAGCCTTTAAGCCGGGAGGTCTGCCCTCACTTTGGGTGGTGTTTAGTTTCAGAACTGAATTGAATTATTGGACACCCCGCTGGTGTCGGAGAGTGGAAGGACGGGGTGGCATGGGAACAGTGTTATCTGGGTGTTGGTGTTTGGGAAGCAACCCCTCTGTCCCTTGGCCTCCCCGGGAGCGGCCCTGCTTTCCACAGAGGTGTCATCACTGCAGGAGACTAGTTTTCGCTAAGACTTGTTAGAATACGTCTCACTAACATCCTTCCAAACTTACCAACAAAATAGCCCTTCTGTCCCACGTCTGGTGAGATTCTGAGCCCCCTCCTGGAACGGGTGTGGGTGAGTTTTGCTCCCCACCCCGTCTCAGCCGTAGGCGAGTGAGCTGGCGGTCTCAGCCATCATCCCCTAAGATCCCAGCTGCGGGGGAAAAGCTCGCAGCCGGCCCTACTAAGCAGCGGTTTAATTTAAGCACTTGTAGCAAGTAAAAGGACAAACATAAGAGGGCAAAGTCATCACCATAATTCCACCTGCCTATAAAGCTGAGAGTATATAATGTATTTTGCAGGGAGGGGAACATTCTGAGGCTCGGAGGGGACCATGTGGGATGGCCTTCATACCAAGTCATAACGTTCAGCTTTCTTTTGTAAGCACAGCCTTCTGGCAATACTAAGCTACCAGGTTACGTGTTACTGGTGGAATGCTGCTCTATGCGGACACAGAGGGTTTCAAAGTCGTTGACAGCACCTGCTGTTTGGACAGCATCCTTTTACAGTCAGGTGCTTGTTAAACTACCTCACAGCCGCCAGAATGACCGCAGTCGGAGGGTCTTTTTCACTCTGTGCAGGGCCTGGGCTTCAAGGTGAGCAGATCGGAGGACCCCCAAGGCGGAGGGAGGGTGTGCGGTGCTGCTGAGTACCTCTGGGATGCGCTCGTGGGCTCTGGATGTGCTGAAACCGCCTCCCCCTCCCCCAATGCCTTTTGCCAAGTTCGCTTTCGAACTTGAGAGCGTCTTTCCAGGGAAATGTAACCCATATGTCTCTGATTCACTCATGCTCCGTTTGTAAAGGGAAGGGCCAGGAAGCACAATTTGACGTCGCAATGCGTCTTTTTTCTTAGAAGGAGAAGAGAGCTGGCTTTGCCAACTGGAAGAAAGTAGAGCCTTGGAATCCTGTGTGTATTTGAGAAGCAGAGCCACCCAGGGCAGCATCCTGTACTGCCTGACCCTGAGGTAAGGGCAGGGAGGGTTCTCTGGGCTCGGCCACCAGCCCGCTCCTTGAGGTGGGCTGTCAGATGGCTCCGCTGCCCAGGACGCCAAGGACAGTTGGGAACTTCATGCTGCCTGCCCGGCCTGGAGGCAAATCTGCCGAGTCACCTTCCTGGGAGGAGGCAGGGGAGGTCCATGTTCACCTCCACACAAGAGCCTCAGAGCAGCAAGGGTCAAATTCAAGTGCGGTCCCCACTCCCATGGCTCTTGCTTCTATAGAAGCAGCAAAGAAATGCAGACAGTCCCAAATGAGGGCTTGTTTCTATCTGCCTTTTATCTGGCTTCGACATGCACTTTCCATCACACGCTCCCTCACCCCTGATAGACAATCAAAAGTTGACTCAGGAGCACACAGAGCTTTTTGTGTGTTGTGTGGTTGGAATCAGAATCACAGCGTCATTCCTAAGCTTAGAGAAGAATAAGGTTCAAGCCACTAAGTATCAAATCATATTCCAGATTTTCCCTGCAAGACCTCTTTGTGCTCTTTCTACCAGGAATAGAGAAAAGATGCTGACTGTCATGTGCATTTTTTTTATTAAAAAAAATTTACTCTTTGCTCAGGGAGAAAATGAAGATATACAGCGCTAATGCAATGTAATCTTTAAAATAATAAGGAAATCAGATGCATCCTTTACACTGACAGATATGGGTGGTCAATGCCCCTCCTAGGCAGCAGAGCCACAGTCAGACTTGAATCTGGTGGTTCTGTGGGTTAATGACAGCTTGATAGATCTGGACCAATCCTTGGGGCTGGTCAAGAAGTATTCCTGAGACCGAGCCACAGAGCAAGGGGCCGATGACAACTCAGGGAATAGGGAAAACCAGTTGTCACCAGCGTCTACTGGCGCAGTGGGCTCACTGTCGGTCTCCCTGCATCTGCCCTATCTTCCTGCTGCCTGTTCTTAATGCAGCCACCAAGTGCTCCTCCAAAATCTTCAACAGAACACATCCTATCTCTGCTCAAGATCCTCCAGTGGTTCCTGCCTTACTTACAGGAAAGCCCCAAACATTACGACAGCCCATCAAGGTCAGACCGTCAAGGTTAGACCTGACCTGCTGCCTGCTCCTGCCCTGGCTGCACTCATCCTGCCTCCTGCCGCTGCCCCCACCCCCCTCACACCCCTGCTGCTCCTGGAGCCCTCCTGGCCTGCTCCTACTCTCCCTGGGCACTGGGGTCTCCTTCCCCCAGATCTCCCTGCCGCTCACCCCCCATCTCCTTTAAGTCTCTCCTCAAATACGGCTATCCTGACCCTCTATTTAAAACTGCAACTTCCCCTAACCCCCTGGCCCCACCTTGATCTGTTTTCATTGTAGTTATCACCTTATCACATGTGATTCATTATTTTGTTCATGGCTGCCTCCCCCAGCTACAGGGAAATGAGCTCCGCAAGAATCCCAGGCACCTAGAACAGGACCTAGCACAAAGGAAGACCTCAACAGATACTTGCAAGGGGGGAGGGTATAGCTCACTGGTAAAGCACGTGCTTGGCATGCACGAGGTCCTGGGTTCAATCTCCACCACCTCCATTAAAAAAAAATAAAAATTTAATAACTACCCCCAAAATTAAAAATCAGTAATAAATAACTATTTGCAGACTGAACGGACTGCTAGTGTCAGCAGCAACAGCAGCCGTGTAAAAGGGCGTCACCCCTAGCTTGGCCCCAGCACGGGGCCACGGCACCTTTCACTCAGTCCGCCTTGCTAAAATGCCTGCTTTGCGAAAGGGGTGCTGTGGAAGAACAGGGCAGACTCCAGAGGGAGGAAACAGGACCAGCAGGGGACTCGGGAAGTGAGCGAGTTATCGAGAGCTTCTTTCTGCTCTGGTCGAGGCTGCCCTTGGAATGGAAGCACTGGGAGTGAGAAGCAGGGAGGAGGGGGTGGCCCTGAAGCCTGTGCCCCCAGCCCATCGCCAGCCGCTTGGGTCTTACCGGCTTTGTCTATCCAGGCGCGGTACCCGTTCAGCTCGCGCTCAATCTGTTGCTGGCGCCGCAGTTTCATGAAAGCTCTCCGGTTCTCCACTCTCTCTCTCTCTTTGGCAAATTCCCTGCGGACAAGGCAGAGAAGATGCACCGGGTTTGGGCAGTGCCATGACTACAAGGAAGGGTGAAGCAAGCAGGAGTGAGAGAGTGGCTGAGTCAGCACTGTGTTCACCCCGTCTCCCCGCCTTTGCCCCAGGCTGCAACTACGATCTCCTTGAAATGCCGCACAGAAACTCACTTTGCTCAGCCACATGCAGGAAGCCTTCCCGGACTAGTGTCACTCCACTCAGCACTAACTCCTTCTGTTTGCTCTATTTTGAAAGGTACTTTCATAGTCACCTGACCAGCTAGGTTCCAAAATGCTACGTGAGGTCCCTCCAGCTACAACAGAAACCCTTAACCCTCTGAGGGGCCCAGCTACCGTTTATGCTTTTAATAACAACAGAGACTAATGTATGTTGACCGACGATGAAGTGCCAGCCCTATAGGAAGCTGCTCATACCCATCAGCTCACTTCATCCTCACAGTCACCCTGTGAAGCAAGCACTATTAAAATTCCTACTGAACAAACGGGAAACCAAGGCTTAGAGGAGGCAGGTCACTTGCTGGGATCTGAACTCCAGTGGTGCTTGCTCTGCGGTCCTGTACCCTGTGGTGCCCAGTCCGGGCTGCCCCCGAAGACCAATGACAACAATGCCCTGAAGGGCTGAAACGCTGTTTGAAGATGGCCGATTGAGGTTAAATAAGAAAGGAAAGGACATAGGAAGGGCAAGGGGCTCCAGGAGCAAGACAATGGGATGATGGGGTGGGGCGGGCTGGAGGGGATAAGGAGATAGAGGGGAAAAAGCTGGCATGAGGGTCAGGGATCGGACAGAGTCCACTAATGGGCAGAGGGGATCAGAGCCACTCTGTGGCACAAGACAATGAAAAAAAAAAAGGAAACTAAAACCCCATAAGAGAAAGAGAGAGAAGAGGTATGAGGGTTCCCTGGCAAAGATGATTGAATGAATTAGAAATGGGGATCAAGAAACATTCGTTTGCTAATAGGCCCCTCTAGACACCACCTGCACGCCAATGCCCTTCTCATCCCCCGACACGCACCCAGCTAGAGCACCCCTTGCTAGGGCAGAGCCCCCATCCGTGGCTCACGCGCCTCCTGCTGCCCCCGAAGCTGTTCCGCTTATTCCAGGTGCTCCCGTCATTAAAGGCTAAAGACAAGAGAGTCCAGCACCCGCTGGGGGTCCTGCCAGCTACTCCCCATGTCCAGGGAGGAGGAAACGAGTCAGTCCCCTTCCAGTGCAGGGGAAAGAGAGGGGTCAGTCTGCCACATCACGGGAGACACCGGTTTGTGCCTCATCTGGCCCCTCCTGCCAAGAGAGAGACGGACTCCTGGGGCACAGATACCTGACAGTGGTCACAATCGGGCTAAGTGTGTGGGGACAGGTACAGTGGAAGGAGAGATGGAGAGTCAGCCAGGAGCAGTGAGAGTCAGGGTAATAGAGTTTAAGCCCTGAGCACCTCCTTTTTTCACCTGCTCTTCTGGATTTCAGCAATTAGGAAGTAACAAGAGCCCACCTGGCTCATGGCGACACCACCTACCAAAGTTCTTAGCGTTGGTTCTTTGTCTTCTTTCCATCCTCCCTGTCCGACTAGCACCACTGTTCTGTTGGCTGTTTCGGAAAGAGCACTTGGACCCACCCTCCCTCTTCACCCTTACTGCCTTGGTCCATGGCCTCATCCTTTCTGCCTGGACTCCTGCCAGAGCACCCTCCTGGTCTCTCCACCACCTGTCTCTCCTCCCTTCATTTCATCCATTCCACAGCTAATCAGAGTTATCTTTTTAAAATATGCACTGAATCCTACCACTTCCAAACCTAAAATAACCACTATAGTGAGTGACCTCTGTGGACCGCTTTCTAATTGCCAAGCACCCTCACACATTTTGAGCATTTAATCTTTACCACCACTCTGAGAAGAAGGTTAGAACAGGTATTTTCAACCGCAGTTTCAAAGTGAAACAACTTGCTTCAGTAAGAGACGGAGGGAGGTCTGGAACTCAGGCCTGTCTGCTCTAAAGGCCCCAGTTTCCCATGCCCGACCTATGCACCCAGCCCGGTGGCAGATTTGTATGCCGCTTTCTTTATCATTTTGTCTTTCCACTACATTCGTGGGGAATCCGGGAGGGTTCAGCAAGAGGCAATATTTTGAGCAAGACCTTGAAAAAAGACAATTTTAAGCAGGCTCCAAGCAGTAGGGTGAGCAGTAGGACTAACATTTCCATTTTCCAGCTCAAAAAACTGAATCTAAAGGGCATTTTATGGTCTTTTGAGAGGACAAGTGGCCCATGACACAGAGCCACTAAGAGGAACCATGACCCTCAGATCTTCTCCATTCCATCTTCTATTCTATGCCCCCCTCCTCCAGGAGCTGTTAAACACGTCACATGGCCTTCAACGTCCTTCATGGTTGGATCCGAAGCTTTCCGTCAAACCTCACCTCCCATCATTTCCATCTACCCGCCACCTCACCGCGGCCGGGCTGCAGCCCCAGCACACGTCCCACGATGCCTGAAAAAGCAGCATGGCCTCTCAGGGCTTAGCTCCCACTGCTTCTCTGCCCAGAATCCCTTCTTATCTGCCCGTGTGTGTTAGAATCCTTCTTCAAGGCCAGGCTGAACTGTCACCTCTAATGTTTAGCTTTCTCTTCCCCTTCTTCTTCGTCTCCAGTCTTCTGACCTCATTCTACCTTCCCTCTCTCTCTTGCCAGCGCCTCTGACAGCCAGACCTCTATGGTGGCGAGTTGTACATGTGAGTGTCTGTCCCCCCGTGTGAGCTTTTGGTGAAAACATTCTGTGCCTTCTTCAACTTCTCATCCTCCAGGACTAGACTAGACCTGGCACACAGTATTTGTTCAATGGGGTTTCTTCTCCCCAAATTAAAAATAACTGGGCTGACTTGACGACCACACTAATAGCTCTGCGCAAAGGCTTAAATGAAGGGGTGCCCCCATCTCTGCACTGACCCAAAAGGATCCAGGTGAGTTAGCAGGAACGCAGCCGTTGCTAGGTAACCCCTGAATGCTGCTGCCACCGTTTTCTCTTTGTTTGGGTCCCCTAAAGTCTCTGTAGAAGAAGTCTATGAAGTATGCATTGGGAAACCTCTATCTGACCCCTAGAATGACCACATGGCTTGACTTCCGGTGGGAGAGGCCAAGAAATCCCAGTCTAACCTCCCTGTGTATCTGGAAGTTTCCAGGCTCCAGTCTCACCAGCTGGCTTCCCTACTCTCCTCTGCCATCGCAGGCCCCCGTTTCCTCCCACCCTCCCACCTGGCATCCTAGCTGGGGCTCCGAGGCCCGGAGCCCAACAAATCTGGCTTGGTCTTTTTAAGAAGCCTCTTGGCTAAAAGAAGTAAGGAAAAAAGTGTGCACCAATGGGGGCACTTCCCAAGCAGCTTCTGCACATCAGTGGGGGAGGAAGAGCTGCATTGTGTTTATCAAGCTGCCTTTTCTGTTTCGTTTTGTTTTTCCACTGGGAGCCAGGGGCAGAAAGTCTGGTACCAGTGTCTTTCATGGTATTTCGTACCCCATCCCTTGCTGTCCCAGTGTTTGTGCCCATGGCTCTGACTAGTCTGCAGGCTCCGTGAGGCCAAGTAGAGGTTGCATTGTATGTATCACAGTCCAACAAGGACCCAGGAAGTTTAATCCCCAGCCTTATAACATGGCAGATTCCACAGAGGATAAAATATTAAGAACAGCTAATATTCACAAATCACATCTGTAAAATTTTTAGTTTATAAATCACTTTCACGTTAAGTTATCTCATTTATATTTGCAAAAAAAAAAAAAAAAAGCTGGGAGATTCAGAAAGCTTACTTGCTCAAGACGACCAAATTAGCATGAGGCAGAGCCAGAATTCAAACTCATGTCTTCTGATTCCAGATTCAAGGCTGTTTCTACAAGGCCTCAGCTGTCTTCCAAGCTATCTAGCAGTCAACATTTAAAATAAAATCTACAAAAGGCATTTATTTTCCAGCCAAAGGTTGAGGAAAATAATGATATAAAAACAGAGTTCGGGTTTTTTTCCTAAAAGGACCATCTTTTTAACTGAGAGAACAGCATAAAACTCCACTGCTCTGTGTCGGGTTGATAAGGACCCAGGATAAAATTCGTAGCATGAGTCAGACTAGTGATGTGCTGCTTGATTTTGTGTCTGTACCATAGTCACCATTTATTTATATGCACATCGCATTCCAGAGAACACATGGCTAAATAGGATTTAGCTCCATTACCTGCCAAAAACAAGTGACTATTCTAACCTCAGATTCAACATGCCTACTAGTCTTATGAATATAGACGTGGCCAGACCTAGGTAAGGGAAGTGCGTTCCTCCCACTGGTCTCTCTCCTCCCTGAGGACAAGAGCACTCTCTCCTCTTCACAGAGGATCATCCTGGGGTTATTCACACGATGACACTTTTGCAAAGATAAAGTATATGGTCATTATCTTATGGTAACCATTATCCAGGTGACTGGGTATCCAGTAGTTACCCAGATGACCATTGCCAAACTTCTTATTGAAAGGTGCCTCAAAGAGTGATTCTATGAATATCTCAATCTAACCAGTTTCTTTGGCTCGAGCAATAGGAAGTTTAAAAGGAGAAAATCTGGCTTACATCAGAAGAGTGTTCATGTCCTCTAAGGCCACTTGGCATCAGCCTGAGGCTTAGGGTAAGAGGATGGGTAATCAGCTCCTTTTCATTTGCTCCATCCAGCGTCTCCACACCTGTAGATGTAATGGGACTCAAGCTGGGATGTGTCTAGACTTCAGAATTCTAAACCAGGAAAGTAAAACTAAATCCCCATGTGATGCAACATAAATACTACCAAGTCTGTTCTCAGAGCTAGGCACCCACCTAACCAATAAAATGGGCACGGAGCCTTTTGCCTCAGTTTCCTCTTCAGTCAACACTGACATTAGAAGGACACAAAAACGCCTGCTATAACCAGAGGCAGGAATAAATGTTTTAGTCTTGGAGTCCTGACAGATTCTTACAAGAGATTGTAAA